TATCTGACTCGTACAATTTAAAAAAAGTTCACTATGTTGTTTCATATTCGAAAATAATTGTAAATACACTTGGTGCCTACACTGCTCAAAAAAATTGTTTTTGTGTATCCTACTAGACAATCATTCACGAACAGATCACATATTCGATTTCTAAACTTATTTTTGATGTAATACAATGCTAAAAAGACTCTTTCAACACTTGTCGTACAAACCATAAAATCAATACAAATTAAGGGTAGCTTAAATTTGTTTAATTGTTAGGTTTTGAAAATAATTAGAGATAGTGAATGACATTTTACTATTACACAGTGTTTAAAATCGAACAACCAATGGGTTGTAGGCATCTAGCTTAATGGAAATTATGTTTATTAATAATAATAGTGTCCTAGGTTTGAATTACCCAATCTACCACTTATATTCCCGTACTCAAACTAGAAGATGAGAGTAGGATAATCATTTTTTCAAATTTCAGGGGTATCCCCGACTATCAATTATAATTTTTTTGTCCATACGTAATTTACCAACAGGGGTTGGATAATCGTTTTTCCAAAATTTACGGGTGTCCCGTGACACCCCTAAAAACGCGTGGGTTCGCCCCTGCCTGAACTAACTGCTCCGAGGAATCCAAAATGTGCAATTTAATGTCAGGCTTCCATACTAACCTGATCTTCCCAAAACCATTTTCATTATACGTGATCTTTTGCTGCCAATTACCAAATCTCTTCTGGATCAACTTCTTTGTCTTCTAATTTCTTGACCCGAGGCTCTAATATAGCTACTGTATCAATATTATTCTTATTCATTTTATCGAGTAAAGTATTGTATTTACTATCATCTGCAAACCCTCTAGTATTCCAAGCTAGCATCTTCATTTAGGCTCCTACCCCTTCCTCCACTTTTCCCTCCTTTCTTCTTAATACCACCATCTCCCGGATGACCAATCCAAAGATGCTTGTCATTATCAGCGCCATTAGGAGCTCGATTCTCCTTCATAAAAATGGGAAAATGATATCCCTGTAGAGAAGAATTAACTTGGAAAATTATCTGAGAGTTTAAGCTCCCTGCTGGAGGTGACTTAAACCCAACAGAAGATTGTTAATGGTGTCAGAGCTCCCAGCTACAACCAATGACCACTGCAGCAAAACTTACCCTAGCTCCCCCATTTAATGTAGGAGACTCATCCCTTCTCTCCATTTCCTGCTCAGCCAACACTTCAAAGTTAACAAGCACCAGATCCTTATGATCAGATAAGGAACGTTGACCACCCTGAACACCATTAGTATAAGCTGCAGTCTCCAAATTAACACTTCATATATACTCTTTGCTTGTGCTCGAAAATAGAATCCTCGATCTACACTCTCTTTGGCTAAGATCTCACATATCATTTCCCACGAGTGCTTGCTCCTCACTTTCTGGATCCTTTTCCTCCCAAGGTAGGGATAATAATATGGGATCTAACTTCCTTTTTAACTAGCTGGCCGCCAAAAGCGATATTTGTCAATGCCTCTTCTACTGTGAGTGTAGATGCTTCTCCCTTGATTGTGCGATAGATCCATTGAAGCACATTATTATTCAGTCCCTAGTAAGTTATTTTGAATAGTTCTTTTTGGCACATAATGCTATCGAGATTAAAGTAGGTCTTAAAATTGGTCTCTATCATAGTAAAGGGGCTCAATATTCTTCTGTATGAAGTGATAGATCTCATTGACGTGCATTGCCCATTGAGGAAGGGTATTCCTTCATGAATATTAGGTTGAGGTAGTCACAAATCAAGAATTTGGACAGAAAGATGAAATCCACCTATTCTCATTTCCACCAAATAAAATAAAAAAAGGGAAATGACATAACATCAATGCCTCATTTGTAATGCCTTTATGGTCATGTTCTTAGAAGGCGATTTCTCTGTTAGCTCACTATACAAACAACTTATTATGGAGAAATATTCTGGATTTCAGAATTATGAGGCTTCTGCCATTTGGAAACCCTTCATCCCTAGCAAAATTTGCTTCTTCATGTGGACCCTTTGGCTTAAGAAGATATACACAATGAACGTACTTAAAAGGAGAGGACTGCAGCTTGCAAGCCGCTACACTCTTTGCTATCAGGAGGAGGAAAATGCGGAGCACATCTTTACCAAGTGCAAATTCATTCAAGATATTTGGAGTGCTATCAAGATGAAGAAGAGTTTTATTGGAAATTTACAGGGTGATTTGCCTTCAATCATCAACAGAAGACCATCCTTGACCCCCAGCAATATTGATGAGTGGTTCAATGTTAGCATTCTTCACTCCTTATTTTGGTCAGTTTGGCTGCAGAGGAATCAACGAATTTTTAACGACTCTCACTCGTCAGCCATTATTATTGCGCGGAAGTCAGTCAAAAATGTCATTTAGTGGCTAACAGCCATAAGAAGATCGATAAGGAACAAGCTGCTATTTGGCTTGCTAACTTTCTTTGATCTGTGATGTTGGTATGTCATGTGATCTTTTACAGAGATGGTTCTGCAGCCGTATTGCTAGAGCTGTTTTTTTATCCCTTTCTGAAGAGCAGCAGGGACGGTTTTTTAGTCCGTCTAGCTTTTTGTTTGTTGTTTCCTTTATTTCCAGTAGTGTGCTGGATTGTCTGTCTTTGGAAAGGGAACTGGTTCAGTTCTCCTGAACCCCTTGTTTCTCCTTTTTCTTTCCTTTGTACTTGGTACTTTTTCTTTCTTCTTTCTTCAATAAAATCACCATCATTAAAAAAAATGCCCAAGAATTTTTTTATGCTATGAATGAGATTATCTCCATCTATCCCACCGTATTGTTTTGCTGCACAATGAAATTTGAGTTGTCCAGGGATCAAGCTCAATGTTTTCCCCAATAGTTAGGGCCATCTTCACCAACTTATATGACTATCTTGACAATAGACATGAGGCTTTCTACCTCATAATGCTCCGACGAAAGCATTAATAATGTCAAGTCAATATTTTGGTATTCGCAGGTTTGTCCTCCATTCAAGATCATTGATGTCTCTTTGAATTTTGAATGCTGAGCGCCCAGCAAAAAACTCCTTGTTAAGGCGTTCTTGCAGCACGTACAATCATTTGTTTGGCCATAATAGCCAATTGATTTCGCATTTCCGTCGCAGGATCCTGAGTGGAGTGTTGCTTGTGATTGTTTGGGAGCTCTAATATAATTAGCAGCATACTCGGTAGAAAAACTTGATTATTCGCTTACTTGGTAATCTAGTCGTTGTCTAGGAACAAGGTCTCGTCATACCTAGAACAATAATTGATTATCTCCAACTTACTATTGCATGCGAGAGGTCCTATTTTCAATGCATTAGGGCATCGATAAGCTGCAGTAGATGTAGTATACCAACCTCCTAACTCGAATCCTTAGCTGCAGTAGATGTCGTATTCCGCTCAAAAGCTGACTTCTTGGACTCAGATCGTTCTCATAGTCATAGACGGTGGAAAGATTCTAAAAAGGTTCTAGGAGTCTCTTGAACGAAATTGGGCTCGTCGCAGCCTGCCGGTCCCAATGAAAATCTTGGACTTTCTTGCGCTCCGATTGTGCGGAAACTTGATGAACGTGATATTTTGTGGCCCATGATTCTCCCCCTAAAATTTGAGAACCGATTTGAACATCATCTGCCTTATCTGTCGACTGTTGCTATGTTTTTCGATTATCAAATACGATGACTTGAAAGATTGCTTGAGCTGTGGCTGGACTTCTCCGATCTAACAACCTCGATCACCTGTAAATCACTCTCACAAATACCATCCAAGTAATTTAGCAAATAAAATGTTCAACTCATGGCATGCCCGCCGGTTGAATCTGGTTGAAACGATGTCAGTCATAAAACCTCCATGAACACTATTGGTATGACTGACATGATCGATTTACGGAGTCTAAGCAAAGTGACATCGTTTTTGTGAATTTAGTTAATAAAAAATGATTTTATTGCATGTTTTGTGAATATAAAAATTAAAATTTGAGGTAATATGTTGAATTTAGGTATAAATTTAAGTAGAAGCGTTATATGTTATATTTAAATGGTGACTACTTCGGCGCACTCACAAAAATGAGTGCGTTCAATGCACCCAACTCAAAAACTAGTCTTAAGGAGTCGGATTTTGAATTTTAATTTGTAGAATTAGTATAATATGATGATATAACATATGATAACAACTAATTAGCGGATTACCCTAAGCCCTAGAACTCCAATTTTGAGTTCTATCCCTGAACCCCAAACTGTAAACCCTAACCCTAACCCTAGATCTTTAAACTCTAAATCTTTCAAATTAAAGCAAATCTTTCATGGTTTTTGTGCAAATTCATGTGCGTTATTGTTCATCACATAATAAGTGATGATTGACATCATTTTGACACAAATCTCATGTTTAAAATGACGATTATGAAGCGAGTGCACTGAATGCACCCAAAAAAGTGAGTGCACCGAAGACGCCACCATATTTAAATATGAGTATTTGTTATTTTATATAGAATGTTGTATTTTATTAAATAGACATGAACCCGCTCAAACCGATTATATCAATGATCGTACATTCCACTCTCTAAACCAACCGGGTTATAAACCGATTTGACAACATTCCTCTGCAAAGTGTGAAGACTAGCAAAATTCCACCCTATCCGGTCCCTGGTTTGATCGTAAAAGAAAGTCACGGCCATATCCACGTCCAATCAACTCTTCTCGTCTTTTTTTTATTTACCTCACAGACTACCGTCTCTTTTAGTCCTCTTTCCGCTTTTCCCGTCTCCATCTGCTCTTCTCCGTCATCTCTTATTTATGCAGCTCACAGGTCAGTGATTGCCATCTCCCCTTCGCCTCGCAATCCGAAGAGCCACGCTCCTCCAGCTCACTGTCGCTTGGCTTGGCTCCCATTCTATTCACTCTCATTTTCCTCAGCTGCACAGATTTCCTTCGTCTGACTATTGGGGTCCTGCCTGCTACTAGCTGGCTGATCCATTCGATGAGACGACGGCTCATCTTCTAGAATGGGTTCATTGGAGTCGGGGCTTCCTCTCAAGAGGGACGGGGGTCTCTTCCGTTCCTCCTCAGCTGGTAAAACTGAGAGGAACCTGTTTCTGCAGAAACCCAGATCAAGATTCTCCCGTTTCTTCTTCCTCAAGAAGCTCGATTACCTCCTATGGATTTGCACAGTCGCTGTCTTCCTATTCTTTGTCGTTGTCTTCCAGATGTTCCTGCCTGGCTCTGTCATTGAGAAATCGGAGGGTTCGCCCACCGACCTTGACTTGCTCTCCGGGGATTTCGCTTATCTGAAACAAATTGGTGGGTTGGATTTTGGGGACGATGTCCAGTTCAAGCCGTCCCATCTATTAGAGAAGTTTCAGACGGAAGTCCAGAGAGAACTCCATCCTTCGTCCATGGCGAATAAGACTCAATTGCAGCGTTTCGCTAACAGGAAGCCACAGCTCGCCCTGGTCAGTGCCTATGTGATTGCCAATCAATGCTTATCTTTTTTGTTTTTGTTAACATCAGCTATGCTGGGTTCTTTGACTGAGCAATTCATTCTTCATCTTGCTTTCCTTGTTTCAATGATCATGCTGAAGTTTTTTTGTTTACTTCTTTGTTAGTGCTATGCCATTTTGTCAGCGTGTTTGATTTTGTTTAAATAACCTGTAGGTGTTCAGTGATCTATTAGTTGAGCCGCAGCAGCTGCTTATGGTTACAGTGGCAACTGCATTGCAAGAGATGGGGTACTCAATTCAGGTGGTTATTCTACAGAAAAGTCTATATTTAGTATAGTCAAATTTAGAATTTTGGGTGCCCCCTGAACGAACTTTGTGGCTTGTTTAAGTCTTCGACTTGTTAGATCCCTTGTCTAGTTCTCTGCAAATGTATATCAAACTTCACATGACAAGTCCAGGCTTTCACTTTTCTGTGCTTCTCTCTTGTTGCAAATGGTTTCTAGTTTGATTTGTGAACATTTAGTAATAAACCTAATTTCGATTAGCCACAAAATTGAACTTGAAGCCCCCTGAGATATTTAATCTCTGCTCCACTTGGCTAGCAGAAAGCCTGGCACAAGGATATGAGCTATTTGTAGCATGCCGTAACCAGAGCCACTATTTGTATACCTCTTATTCATGGTTGTAATTTGTTTTTTGACAGGTATACTCATTAGAGGATGGTCCTGTGCATAATATCTGGAAGAGCATGGGGGTTCCAGTCGCAACTTTCAAAGACGAGAAAACAAATATTATGGTTGACTGGCTAAAGTAAGCTGCTCGATAAAATATTCGGAACTGATTTCTCAATATGAACATTTAATGTTTCAGATTAGTCAAAGTAACCAGTGACTAATTCTTCTTTAGCATAGTGATTCTGGTGTTTTCTAACTACATCAACTTATATTTCGATTTGCAGCTATGATGGCATCATTGTAAACTCTCTTGAAGCCAAGGAATTCATCTCTTGGTAAGATTCATTATCATATCCTAAGACAATGTAACTACAAGAATTTAGCGGTGGGTTACATGATTGTGTAAGAGATTCTTCAAGTTATGATGAGAAGCTTTTGATCCCTGGGTACTTGATTTACATTTTAACTCAAGGGTAAATTCATAGCTCAAATCTATTGCACTAAATAGGCCATGCTCAAGTCTATTTTACTAAAGATGCCCTTATCTGGGTTGATTAACTCAAATGATTTCACTTGTTTCAGTTTGATGCAGGAACCATTCAAATCTGTGCCTCTCATATGGACCATCCGTGACAGTACGCTTGCTATTCGTTTGAGGCAGTATGATTCCAGTGGTCAGATTGACCTCATTGAAAATTGGAAAAAGGTTTTCTACCGCGCTAGTGTAATTTTGTTCCCGAATCACGTGCTACCGGTAATTACTTGGTGCCGATCAATTATTTCTGAAATTGATGCACGGGTTGACCAATTAGGATGTCTCGTCCTTGCTTTCATACTTCTCCTGAATACCTACACTGACTTGGCATGAGTACTTAAACATTGTCATTTGGGATATTGTGCAGATGATGTACGCAGCATTTGATGCTGGAAACTACTATGTTGTCCCTGGTTCCCCTGCTGAAGCGTGGGGACTAGATGCTACAAACACATTATCTGATGAGAACCGTATGAGAATGGGTTACAGGTCTGACGACACTGTAATTGTGGTAGCTGGAAGCCAGTTTCTATATAGGGGTTTGTGGCTTGAGCATGCACTTGTTTTACAGGCTCTGTTACCGATATGTTCCAACTTCCCACTTGAGAATAATTCCAGTTCTCTTAAAATCATTGTTTTAAGTGGCAACTCCAACAGCAACTACAGTATGGCTGTAGAGGTATTGTTTGGGTTCCTTCCTGTAGACTTTAATACTTATATATCTGGATTTTTCATTAAATATATTATGACTTTCTGTCTCTAGGCTATTGCAGCGAAGTTGAACTATCCAAGTGGTGTTGTGAAGCACAAAGGTGTCGATGAAGATGCAAGCACTGTAATAAATGCAGCTGATCTTGTGATATATGGGTCCTTTAATGAGGAGCAATCTTTTCCAGAAGTTATAATGAAAGCAATGTCCATGGCGAAGCCTGTCATTGCTCCAGATCTTGCTATGATAAAGAAATACGTATGTTTCTCTTGCTGAGTTTTCTTTGGGTCTGATAAAGGTTATGACTCAAAGTGAGCATAATTTTTCCGAATGAGGATAGCTCACTATACGTAAAAAGAAAAGTAGCCCATCATTAGAAAGTTCTTGCTATTGTGTTTTGGATCACCCTAGGTTGTTGATCTACCTTGATTAAGTAACATTTGTAACTTTCTTGGAAGCTACCAGCTCCAACAACCTATCAAGGTCATACATTTCTAGGTTGTAGCACAAGATGTATTTTGATAGGATAAGTCAGAATCTAGAACTTATGAATAACACATTGATATTTCACTTCAACTATTTACTGGCAGAGCTTGTGTAATGATTCCCTTGTTTTTTCATTTTTTCTTTACATATTTGGACTTTTTTCTTACTGTTTTCAGTTTTATTTGGTAACTGGTAGGTTGATGACAGGGTTAATGGGTTTCTTTTCCCCAAGGACAAGATCAAGGATCTTACGGGAATTTTATTGCAACTGATGCCAACAGGGAAACTATCACCTCTGGTTCACGAAGTTGCTTCAAAGGGAAAAATCACTGCTAAAAATCTGATGGTTTCAGAAACAATTCAAAGTTATGCCCTACTACTTCAAAATGTTCTCAAACTTCCATCAGAAGTTATGCCTCCTAGAGCTGTTACCGAAATCCCTCCAATATTAGAATGGCGGTGGCGACTATTTCAACCATTTTTTAATTCCACATATGAAGACAGAGCATTGAAGAGTTCTAGATTCTTGGATAGGTGCGAGGAGCTGTGGAACCATACACATATGGAGGGTTCTGGTTCTACAGGTGGTCCTGATGATTCATTTATCTATGAAATCTGGGTAGACCAGAAAAATGAGCAGATACTCCATAGTAGAAAGAGAAGAGAAGAAGAAGAAGTAAGTGTCCTAATGGTACAATCCTGGGAATCGTGTTCGTTTAGTTGTCTTATTGATTGGATGTTATTAAGTCCCTATTTTATGCAGCTGAAAGACCGTACTGACCAGCCTCGTGGAACATGGGAGGAAGTATACCGTAGTGCCAGAAGAGCTGACCGGGTTAAGAATGATTTACGGGAAAGGGATGAAGGAGAGCTTGAGAGAACAGGTCAACCTTTATCTATTTATGAACCGTACTTTGGAGAAGGGACATGGTCTTTTCTGCACAGTCAATCACTTTATCGTGGGATAGGCTTGGTAAGTTTAATGTGTATTATATTCCAAGCTTCAACTTATTTTTCTTTGATGGAAAATGGCACTTTGTTTCATGTTCATAATTGGCCTATTCTCATGTTTCCAGTCTACAAAAGGGAGAAGACCTATGACAGATGATATTGACGCACCATCTCGTCTACAACTTCTGAATGACCCTTACTACCGAGATACCCTAAATGAATATGGAGCATTTTTTGCAATTGCAAATCGTTTTGACCGTGTTCATAAGAATGCTTGGATAGGGTTCCATTCTTGGAGAGCAACTGCAAGAAAGGTACAGCAGCAGTGACTGCATATGTTTTTCCTCTGCTATTAGTTTCAGGTTTTTGTTTGCCACTTGTATTGTCTGGAACTGCTTTGGCAGTAGCTGGGCTGTGTAGGCAGGATCGTGGCATTAAGTTTCAAGATATCACATGCTGCTCAGCGTATGAGTTGCTCTAAAAATATTGATACTCACCGAAAGCTCTAAATCAATCTTAAAAAACTCTATCAGTGCTGCTTCTCCATTTGGACCACATGACAATACTCACCATAATGTTTAGTACTAGATACTCTGCCCGTGGAAAAATTAGAATAGTGAAAATGAAGGAAGTGACAAAAACTCTATCAGTGCTGCTTCTCCATTTGGAATCATCTTTGGTTGCAAAGCAAGTGACACAAGTCGAGCTTGTGCCGTTTTTAGTTACGGTTCTGATGCTTGCTCTACTTTTGGACTATGAACAGGCATCTTTGTCTAAGGTTTCTGAAAATGCGTTGTTAGATGCTATTCAATCACGAAAGTATGGAGACACACTCTTCTTTTGGGTTCGCATGGACACTGATCCAAGAAATCACATACAACAGGACTTTTGGTCCTTCTGTGATGCCATAAATGCAGGAAATTGCAAGTAAGAGATCTAAACCATCAGATTATTCATTATCATGTGAACCAACCTAGATAGTTGATTCATCAACAACTTTTGTCGGTTGGTGGTTTGAAGGTTGGCTTTCTCTAAGGCCCTGAGCAAGATGTATGGTATCAAAGGGGACCTTGATTCCTTGCCGACGATGCCTGTAGATGGCGATACTTGGTCTGTCATGTCGAGTTGGGCTATGCCAAGTAGATCCTTCCTGGAGTTTGTGATGTTCTCAAGGTTAGTACAGTCCTCCTTTTGGCTGTCCAAATGCTGTTATCTTGATGTTTTTCATTCTTAACTTCAATCACAATCTGTTGAGTTTGTTGCTCATCATGTATTATTTTGAACTAGCAGAATGTTCGTGGATGCCCTGGATGCAGAAATGTATGATGAACACCGTCAAAGTGGACACTGTTTTTTGAGTTTATACAAGGTAAATGTACTATTAGCTCAATAATAGTTTATGGAGTCCCATGCCGTAGCTCAATAATAGTTGGTTATTATATGTATAGGTGGCAATCGGTCGTGTCGGTGGATTTGTGGGTTGGTCTTAGATGGGTTGCTGGTATTGTTTTGATTATTGGGGTGGAGAGTATTTCGGTCAGCTGTCAGTTGACTCGGGTCTAAGGATTGTAGGGGGTGAAGTTTTAGTAGTTTTGGTGGTAAATTTTGAACGGCAGAGGTGGGTTAGTTTGTCAATAGGAAACTTGCTGGTAAACTTGGGGTAGATAATGTAGATTATATCTTATCTGGACTGAATTGGCACTTGGCAGAATGGAAGTTAGATTTGAACTCCGGACCAGTTTGTGAATTTCTGTAGGTACAGCCGTACAGGTACTAAATGTATGAGTCAAATTATTTTGGTACTAAATTACAAATTTTGATGCAAAATTTAATGTGAATAGATGAAAATTAAGGTACTGAATGTACACAAAAGAACTAGTTACTAATTAATGGATTTGCTGAAATCCATCAACTCAATGGATTCGTGATAAGATGATAATATAGTACTACTAACCCAAATAAGAGTGTTTAGACTAATTTAATAGTGCAGATTTATATGACTGATCTTTCATTATTTAACATATCATATCTTTTTAGTTTCAATTCGGATTTTAAATATTTTATTCTAGAAAATTAGATCAATTATTTTCTACAACACGAGATTCACTTAAAATCATGGATACCATGTGAATTCCTCAGTCTTTATTATTCTTTCTCTAGATTTTATATGTATTTTGTGTTTTTGGTATGCTTTAGAAGATTTATGGTAATATATTTTCCCTATTTCTAGTATCATTCTTGCATTTTTTGTATGCATTCGTGTTTCTGGTTAAGGCTGCATATGAGTCGAGTCAAGCTGAGGTTTACCCCAACCAGAAATTGAAAATACAAAACGTTTGAAAATATATAACTAACAGGAATTTGATTTTTTTATTAATTTGTGTTCCCCCTATTAATTCTTCTTTTCAATGGTGTTAGCATCATACAACACTTGGGGTGTTATTATACTATTCTCATCTGGGGATAGATGGAATGTAATTGAGTGAGTTGGTTTGCAGAGGTTGGTTGATTTTTGCCACCTCTAGTTATAGGATACCGGATAGCAGTGGACTGAACCTGTGAAAGATGGATAACCAGATATACATTATTGTTGCAGGACAAGCATTGCTATTCTCGGATTCTCGAGCTTCTTGTCAACGTGTGGGCATACCACAGTGCTAGACATATGGTGTATGTAAACCCAGCGACTGGAGTGATGCATGAGCAGCACAGCATGCAGAGCAGGAGGGGCAAAATGTGGACAAAGTGGTTTTCATTTGCCACATTGAAGAGTATGGACGAGGAACTGGCCGAGGAGGCAGATTCAGACCACCCGAGCAAGAGGTGGTTGTGGCCTTCCACTGGCGAAATCTTCTGGCAAGGTATGTATGAGAAGGAGAGGAGCATGCGGAATCAGCAGAAAGAGAAGAGGAAGCAACAGAGCAAGGACAAGCTTAGGAGGATGAAGGGTAGACACCGACAGAAAGTGTTGGGGAAATACAGGAAGCCCTCTCCGGAGGAGATGGCGACGATGGAGAATTCGACAATGTTGAACCGCAGCAGGAAGTTGTGATAGAGATTGGTTTCGGATTACATAACCAACACAGGCTGCTCCCTATTTCGTGGATGTAGTAAAGAGTAGAGTGTAATTGATAAATTCATTCGTTCATTGTTGATTTTGCACATCAACTCCTGCTTGTTTTGGTTGAAAATTGTTGCACAGAAGGCACAATGTATTACTGTTGGCAGGGGATCTGTAATTAGATGGATGCGTCCTTCTCGCCAATGAGTTTTTTAGTAGTCTTCCTGACAGGTAATGTAATACCCTAACTAGGTTGAGCACTAATTTTACTATAATGTCATTTATCATTTTGCTAAAATATCAAATCAACCATAATGCAAGGTGAATTTTTTTTTTTATGGTTAATCAAAAATTGTATTGAAAACCGAGGAAATGCAACTTGCAAAGTCGAGGAAAAGTAACTGTGCTTTTACATATATACTCCAAAAGACTACACAAAAAGTAAAAACAAATTTTGTGATACTATCTAAAGCTGTAGCTAGGCGAATTTTTTTCCATCAACGGAAGTTGTTATTACAAGAAATATAGATTTAAGTATAATTTGACATAAGCTTGCAACAGCTGGTATCATAAATATTTTAAGAAAATATACTAATAGTATTGAAACTTGTCTATCTTTATGTTGGAGTGCAGGCATGAGAGTCAATCCTAATCATAAGTTTATTATTACATGGTAAAAAGTTAATCCAATAGACCTTGAAATTAAAGACTCCAGTACAAATAATTTTAGGCTTGATAGTTCAGTGCCTAGACTTTTGCATCCCTTCAGATTCAGGCTCTTGAGTTTAGGCATGTACAAAACTGTAAAGTCCTCCATTCACCATTTCAAACTTAACGTAGCAGAGACGACTTTGCATCATATATCCCAAATAATTAACAATCTATTGTTATGTGAAAATATGGTGTGAATTATTCGGGTGACCCACAATCCATCTTCCACTCACCCAACTAAGTACAAATAGAAGATTGATCAATTCGCAATCCACCCACAATAATTAGAATTAATTGTGAGTGGATCGATTTAAATCGCGGATTAATCACCCTAAGAAGGACTAAGGTGACCGACGTCCGACAGGCGACAACTACCCATCAATGGGGAAACAATCCCAAAGTACACTAGTTCTTAAAAAAAATTCTCAAAATACATAAGTTATAAAAAAAATTTCAAAACTACACATGTTTGGCATTCACCGTTTTTGACAAACGCAGTGAATATAATCACCGCTTTCGTCAAAAACGGTGCACATTTCACCGTTTAAAAAAAACGATGACGTGTTCACCGACTTTGTATAAAGCGGTGAAGTGTTCACCGCGTTCAACAAAAACGGTGAAGACATCACCGTTTATGTCAAAAGCGGTGAAAACGTCACCGTCTTAGGGCAAAGCGGGGAACATATTCACCGCCTCAGGCTATGGCGGTGATTATTTCCCACGTTTCCCAACCCTGGTAGGTGAAAATTAGGTCACAACTACCTAATGTTCACCGTTTGAGACCAACGCGGTGATGTTGTTCACCGTTTGAAACAAAGGCGGTGAATGCTGGCCGATTTTCCTTTAAATACCACTCCCACCTGCAGTTGTAAAAACATAATCTCTCCCCCCTCTTCAAATTTCAGCAGCCAAAACTGAGCAACATACACAGACCAGGAATTTTCTGTAAGATTTAATTTTCGTATTAATTCCTAATGGTTGTTTTTAGTAGTTATATTGTTATGTTATGAATTACTTATCGTAGCAAATATGCCGATGTTATGAATTACTGGAATTATGCTAATAGTTACTTATTGTAAATTGTAGATATGGGTAAATTCAAAGAAGTTTCAGCTTATTATTCGGTGGAATGGAAGGGTTACAAACTCTGAAATAGGGATTGATGGGGGCTAATGAAACTATTTTAGTAAAATTTAACTGTCTCAACTCTCGTGCGATCGCACCAAAAATTCGAGTTCCCTTTGGATTTCCTTCCTGATCAGTGACAACTGCAACTGAACACCCACACAATCGAGATTTGAAACTAACACGCCTATTTAGTAAGTGACACAAAACACCGGGAAATCTTTCAAATTACCACTGCTTAGCTTTCAATTCGCCTCTGACCATCAAATGAAGTGTGAATAACCCGTCCTCCTCTCTTTGAAACAAGGGCCGCTTCTGGTTGTGTTGGTGCTTGAAACAATTTTGTCTTCTCCATATTACTCTATCTCTAGAGTCAATAATTTTGAGGACGGTGTATCCTCTAAGCTGAAAATTGAGTCGCGATTCAATTTTCAAGAACTCTGTGATATTTGTGTAGACGGGGTTTCTACGAGCGGACATACGAGACTTGGTAAAATTAGTTACCAGTATCCATGTATGAGTACTGGCGGGCTTGTGTACCAAGAAGTTGTCATAAACGATGATGACGCGGTTACGATGATGTTACAGTTCCTAAGCGATAACGGGATGCGGCAAGCAGAGGTGTATGTTGAGACCGAGGCGGTCGGTGAAACCCATTCTCACCAGTATTCTTATGATGATGGTTTTGCAGGAGGGTACAGATGGGGTGGTAGTTCGAGCAACTACGAAAGAGGTGGTTATACAGGAGGTTTCGGAGAGGGTGGTAGTTCAATCAACTACGGTGGAGGTAGTAGTGCAGGATGGGTGCCATCGGAAGAATACTCGCAACAGGATCAACCTACCGATGGCGTTTAATGGCCTGTTTGGGGGCCTGAGTGGGCTGAAATTGAGAATACCATTCAAGCAGGCGTACTTCACATGAGCGAGAAGACGGTGTTGGTGATGGTGGTCATGTTGATCCTTCTGGGCCGAGCTATCCATTCGACTCGAGCGACGATGATACTGAGGAAGATTTGAGATCAGTGAGCGAGGAGGAAGATACTGATGATAACGACGACGAGGCGGTATTTCGTGAAGCCCCGACGCCATACTACACATTGGTTCCAACTCAATTTTTACATAGTCAGAATGATGCTCCCGACTTTGTCCCTATGCCAGTGTATAATCCGACAACCAATTTGGAGGTGGGTATGGCATTCTCATCAAGGACGATGTGCAGGATGCCTTTACCGAAGAGGCCTTGAGGCGCAATTTCGAGTGGAAGGTAAAATATTCTGACAGTAAACAATTACATGTCATATGCAAGAATGATGCAGAGGGCTGTACGTGGCAACTGCGGGCTGCAAATATGAAAAGAAAGGGTGCTTGGGTGATTCGAAAAGCTGAGACCAACCACACTTGCTCCTCGTCCATATGTTCCCAGGATCACAGTCAACTTAAAGCAAAGAAAATTGGGAGAACTATTAAACACCTTATCGAAGCATAACCAGATATCATGGTCAAAGCTATCATGGCCGAGGTGAAGGATCGACATTCTTACACGATAAGGTACAAAAAAGCATGGCATGAAAAGCAGAAAGCTATGGCTAAGGTGTATGGCAATTGGGAGGATTCGTATGCCTTACTCCCTAGACTTATGGCTGCAATGGAGGAGTTCAACCCTGGGACTGTTTTCGTGCCAGTATACAACAATGTATACACTGAGGATCAAGTTCGAGTACAAGAGAAGTTGATGTTTCACCGTCTTTTTTGGGCTTTCAAACCATGCATTGACGCGTTTGCGTTCTGCATACCGGTTATTCAGGTATTTTAATACATGTTTACTATTTGAATATAGCTAAGCATGGAATAATTTTAAATTAGGCTAAGTACGGAATAAACTTACTTGACACCGTAGGGGGGATTTTGCAGAAAGTTTAGCTCATCATCAGCTCTCCGGTATGGACGTGGGTCTAGAGGTGCGAACATTGGAAGATGCTCCCATACCCACAGCTGTAGGATAAACATCGCAACACCAACTTGTTTTGCTTCCACCTTCGAGCAAGTGCACAGCTCCCGGTATATGGCAGCTAACACGGCTGATCCCCAACTCTTTTCCCCGATTGCGTTCCAGTCACCAGTGAGCAATGGCAACCATATGCCTTGAATCCGGTTTGACTTGTCGGGGAACAGAAATCCACCCGCCAAACCAATGAGGTAGATGCGTGCATAGCGCTCCACTTGATATTCCGGAGTCTCGTCATTGATTTCCACCTCATTCTGGATGTGAGTTACCAGCCACGGGACCGACACTTGTCCCGCATTCAACGGTGGATGCCCCCGTCCTTGAATTGGTGTGGTGGTTTATGAACGACGGGAATAAGTGATTCCTTCAAAAAAATTGGAAAAACATCAATTTGTTAGTTTAAATAAAACAAAATAAAACCTTAGAAAATAATAAAATAAAGCAAATAAATCATCAAATTACCGGATTGTTATCCCAAATAGCACGGGAGCGATGAGCTTCTTGATCGGTTAAGAGCCTCATATCTCTTGGCCCATAATGGATATACAATCGAGGATCGTATATCTCGGCACCCATCTATAAAAAAAAGTAATGAAATCAGAGATTGTTTTGATAAAAAAAAATCACAAAATCAAATTGTTTGGATTAAAAAAAACACACACACAACAAAAAAAACCAAAAACCTACACGAAGAGCCTCTTCGTCCATTTTTTGGCAGAAGCCGGACAGAGGTTCGACGGGTTCATGTTTGTAAGGGACGGGAGCTTAGCGTGACGGGGGTTTTAGGGTCAAACTCTAGTAATTCTTTCTGATGTGGAAGATCGGACTTAACCGCAACCACAGAGCATACTTAGAACGAGACTAGAGAGGATAGATTGAGGGAGAAAGAATTGTAAATGTGATGGTGTGATTTGGAAGAGGGGGAAGGGTTCTATTTATAGGGAAGGATGGGAGGGTCTGCGAAAATTAATGGGGAGCATTCACCGCGTCCCTCAAAGGCGGTGAATGCATCGCCTTTTCTCAAAACGGTGCCTGACGCGGATCGAGCGACGTGGCGTGCTGTGAGGCGTTGGATTTGGGAAGAAAACCACGATCCGCGCCTCACCGCATCCAACGGCCACGGTGAGTGGGTCAGCGACGTGGATCGCTGACGCAAACAAACACGGGGTATTCAGCGTGTTTATCTAATGCGGTGAATACATTGCGTTTGTCGCCGTGAGCGATCCGCGTCGCTTCATCGTGGCCAATGCAGTCTAAATCGCGCTTAAAAACTTACGATTCTACGCTTTTAGGTCACCAAAACGCTTTCGTTTTCGATCTAAAAACTTAAGTGTATAAAATCGGACTAAATTGCGCTTTAAAGCTTAAAAACTTATGGTTTTACGCTTCTAATTCACCAAAACGCTTTACGTTTTTACGCTTTTAGTTTACTAAATGAGTATTCTTTTTCATGAAATTAATTATAAAAAGTATATTTTAAAAGTAAATCACCAACAATATGATACATTTGAGATTAGAATATACATATCAGGTACTTGGATGCATTCTCAACTTCAATAGCGTAATCTAATTCACCTGCTAGACTTTTCACAAATTCATTAGCATAGAAGGAAAAGTGGCTTATTGTTAAAATATATGTTTACGAACTTATTATTAAGATGTTATAAGTTGCTCTACTTTAAGCATGAATTGCATGTATTTATTAACTTATCTAAATTATGTGCATTCATATTTTATATAGTATATGTCCTATTTAATAGATTTTTAATTATTTTTCAGTATGCGTCAAAAACTTACGCTTTTGCGCTTTGATACTACGCTTTACGATTTTACCCCTTTTCCGCTTCTAGGTAGAATCGCGCTTTTGACTGCATTGATCGTGGCATACAAAAGCAGTTTAATATACACCACGTTTCACTAAAACGGTGATCTATTCACCGTTTGACGTTAAAACGGTGATTGACTCGCTCGTTGTTCACCGTGTTAGAGAAGAACGGTGAATACATCACCGTTTTTTTTTTAACGGCGAAATGTTCACCGTGTTTGACAAACGCGGTGATTATATTCACTGTCTTTGTCAAAAACGCTGAATGCCAAATATGTGTAGTTTTGGAAAAAAAATTTTACTAATGTATTTTGGGAATTTTTTTTAAGAACATGTGTACAGTGTGATTTTTTCCCATCAATGGCACATGAGACCGAAAATAGGGACTTTTCCTTCATATTATTTATTAGATTAGGATTCTGAGTCTACGGTTTTAGGTATAAAATAAAATAAAAAAATGAATAGATTATTGTAAATGAGGTCTATTATGTCACTATGTGCATTCAGCTTAAATTGATGATTGTTCATGAAATGCCGTTTTTTTAACGGTTCGAACTCGATTAATCAAATATTCAATGATCAACCTCTCGCTCTTCTCTAGCTTAAAACTCCGGTTTGGGTTTCCGCAGAATGGGAAAATACCCGCCGCTGAAAATATATATATTTGGAAGGTTTGGCTGTTGTTCGGCAACCTCCAAATTCCCTTTCGACCGTCGAATTTGTAGGCTCAGACGCCACCCATAGCAGCAACTGCCATGGACCTGATGATCCATTCTTCTTCCTTCCTTGTTCCGAGTACCTCAGCCGGAGACGACCTCCGCCATTCTCTAACCTACGCCCTCGTCCTTCTCAACCAGCGCCTCCCTAAATTCACTCCTCTGCTCTGGGAACACGGTATTCAACTCTTACTTCCCTTCAACTTCGGCGTTTCAAATAGCCGCGAGTCTTGTGATTCTTGTTTGTTAGATGGGGTTGTATTTCGTGCGTAGAGCAGCACAAGTTCGAGTTTGCGCCGATGGAGGAGCCAATCGGGTCTATGACGATATGCCTCTTCTCTTCCCAAACGAAGACGCCGCCCATGTTCGCCACAGGTAACTAAACTGCTTCTTCATTCTGGTTTCTTGCATTAACTAGGCATTCGAATAGTTGGCAACAAAGGAGGGGGGGATCTCCATTGCTTCAATGCCTATTGCATTTGCCTGCTGAGAGAGAATCTGTGGTTTCTGGTCTCTTTCTCTCTTTAGGGCAGTTTTCCGATTTTCTTCAATTGAGAAACCTTGTTAGCATTGGGACATTTTTCTAGGTTAGTTCGAACCGTGCGGATTAGACCCTTGCTTCTTGTTGAAGTAAGACGGTGTCTGGTTATTAAAGCGGGCAGTTGAGCCCTCCTGATGGTTGTTTGTGAACTGTGCTAACAGGTTCAAACCAGATGTAATCAAAGGGGATATGGATTCGGTACGATCTGAAGTACTTAACTTTTACAGCGACTTGGTAAGTTGAGCAACTTCCTTGCTATCAATCTCATTGGGATGTAATTCGGGTCAGCTTCTGGGACGTGCACCTCTTCTGATGAGTCTTGAGCTAGCATTTTGATCGTCTGTTTGTCTGCCTGTCTTACCTGCTTGGTTTCAGGGAACTGATGTAGTTGATGAGTCTGATGATCAAGATACCACTGACCTGCACAAGTGCATAGCTTATATTAATGGTGTCATGCCAAATCTTGATAAGTCATCGGTTAGGAAATCCTAACGAGTACTTCTTTTCTTCTCTCTTTTGTACCTATGAATACTCTCATCTTCGCATGGCCACGAAGTAAAATGCGTACTGCTTATGAAAAAAGCAATATGTTGTGAAATGAGCTTCAACCAGTGATGTTCTTGGGAGCAATTCTGAAATCTCTCTATTTTAAGAGGTGAAAAGTACCTTCAACTTTGGGATTTGGGGGGAAGATGACAATCTTTATGGAGTCTTTAATTTTTGCAGTTCTGCATCCTCGTAACTGGGGCACTTGGAGGGCGGTTTGACCATGAAGCTGGTAACATCAATGTCCTACACCGTTTCTCAACCACGCGGATAACCCTTCTATCTGATGATTGCCTCATTTACCTGCTTCCAAAAACTCACCGTCATGAAATACATGTAAACTTCTCTGCTGAGGGACCGCATTGTGGACTCGTTCCCATGGGGATGCCATCCGGGAGAACTACAACAACAGGCCTTCAGTGGGACCTCAGTGAGTTACCTACCCTCCTTTCTGTTTGCTTGTGAAACCTCTGTAGGATCTGTTAGGTTCAGCCGTAAGAATGGTGACATTTTATGAAAAGAACAGGGAAACTATGTTATTTTCTCTTGGAACCTTGTCTAAAAAAGGAGGACAAGGAAAAGGACCACAGAAGGCTAAACAATCAAAAGGGCTTGTTTCATCTTTTAGATTACGGGCGTGCTACGTTTTTCGCCTTTGGGTGATTTGATGACAGACCTCCCTCCCTCCCTCCCTTGGCCTTGAGAGCATATTCCGAATAGGATGCAAATGACTGTTAGAACCAAGAAATCCGTGATTGGTTGCTCTTTCTTTTCTTGACTTTGTATCCCTTCCTGTAGGTTACTTTTCTGCAGATTGATATTGCTCTAACAACTGATTCATGGGTTTCTTCTTGTTGCTGTCCATCAGATGATGCGGAGATGAGGTTTGGTGGTCTAGTAAGTACATCAAACATAGTGAAAGCAGAGAAGGTTACGGTGGAGTCGGATGCGGATCTCCTGTGGACGATATCAATTAAAAAGTTCTGATGGCCCCTCATACTTTCCTGCTACAATTTTCTCAAGAATTCGGTTTACTTAGAATGCATATGTATATTTACATGCTAGTGAAAGAAAGCAATGAGGCAATATATATGTATGGTATTTTATTTAAGGTTAAACAGGCTGATAAACTCATTTCAAGTGAATTTTATGTGCAATTGGTTGAAGTTAAATTTCAAGAAGCCATTTCAGAAGCCACTTAGTGAGCAGCTGCCATATCCATAAAGATAAATCGACTCTGGCCATGAACTAGTACCAGCAGCTTAGATGCTTAATATTAACTGGTCTTGTATTGTACCCACTCTCGGGCAGGATGGTAACAAATATCCATATTCATAGATTTTTTAATGGATATGACTACGAGTAAATCACAAATATGAATATTGTGTGGATATTGTTTTCTTACTTTCCAATTTGAATCTGTTTAATTCTTTTGTTTTTAATTAACATATTGGTTGAAATTATAAAGAAATTATGATTTATGTACAACCTTGAATATTCGAGATCCGATCAGATATGAATATGATTTTGATATTGTACCCGAAGTTTTGTGTGGGTATGTGAGTATGAGTGAGTCATATACACTATCCCTCCGACCTAAATTGTTGTCATCCCTATTTGGGCCCTTGGCTAAAGTATCATATTTTGTTCTGTGACTCAAATTTCATAAATAAAGTTTTTTTAACGTGTGATTGGTTTCACGTGTTGAACCTGTCAAACTTGAAAATAATTTAACTATGAAGAACTACGAAAAAGCGATAAAACTATAACTAAATGATTGCTAATACATGACTTCTCATTCATGAATTAATAGTTGTTGTGATGGGGCAAGATATTGAAAAGTATTGGCAGCAGTAGGTGGCGATAGTCGGTCGACGATCATGATTTTTGGCATGTGGTGAATCGATGATGATTAATGACTTGATTTGGGTTGATGATGACTGCTAGTGGTCGAGGAGAGAGAACATTATAATTTTGATGGAGGAGAAGGAAAAAATAGGCATTAGGTTTCACTAATTTGGGGCGAATGAAGGAAAGTTGATCCAAGGATTTTATCTTATTATGTTAACTCGGTTTGACATGGTCCACATTCAACAATTCAGCCCAGATCTTATAATCAGTAAAACACTACGAAAACCCAAATTTTAAGGATTTAGCTGCGAATAATATAGGGTTTTAAAGTTCATGGATTTTACATTGAAATAAGGATCGGAACTGGTAAGTAAGATACTAAAATTATTAGATTTTAGGATTTAAATTGAGACTGTAATTACTTGGTGGCACCCTCGAGCGTCTAACAATGCTCAAACAATCAAAGTAACGATAATAAATGTTGTACATCCATCCCAACAACTCCTTTGTATCATACAACATTCTCGGAAATCAACCACTCTAGCATCATACCCATCTGGTAGACATTGGCACACCCATGATGAAGCTAGGTGGGCCTCTGAAGACGACAACAACCTGCCTAGCCAAAAGATGGGGAAGTACTTGTATAACCAAGACTGTAGAAGGATCAAATAAGCACAAAGAGCCTTACCGCCCATGTGACCATCCCAACCTTCCTCTAGAGATAGACAAGTGCACCAATTCCTCAAGCATACCCCACCATGACTCGATGGTCCTTCATAAACAAGTCGATCTCTTGATGAATGAAATCAAATCATCTCAAAGCTACGATGATTGCTACATGGTACTACAATGTAATGAAGGAGTTAACAAGCGAGCTAAGCAATGCAATGAAGGAGTTAACTACCGGTTGTTGTAGACTTGTAGTCATGTGTGATCTATGTAGAGAAGAGGTCATGAAGGATATAAATGTTGGAATTTTAGGCATTATGTCGAGCTGTTGCCTCTGAAGGAAATTGACAGTCCCTTTGCTACAATTCAAAGCTTCATTACCCATATGATGCTACAATTCAAAGCTTGGATAATGAGGATGAAGTTAGTTAACCCAAAGGTTTATGGATCGTGTTATACATGGTGGGATAAACAACAACAAGAAATCAAATAGCCAAAAGACTAGATCATGTGTTAGTAAATGTAGAATGGTTGGAAAAGTTCAAGGGCAATACCGCCTGTACAATTGCTCCCATGTACTTATCTTCATGGTATTCTACTAAAATACTCCTCCCACTCAAAACCTCCCTAAACCCTTTAAAATACTTCAATCTTTGGAGACTGCATCCTTCCTATCAAGACTTATTGAAAGTGGCATGAGATACTCAGATTTCAGGCTTCCCCTTTAACATTTTTTTTTTGACAAGCTCTAAGAGTTTACGACAAAGACTTAGGTAGCTAAATCATTTAGAATATTCTGATTTATTGGTTAAATCTGAACTAGCTTGAGAAGTAAAAAAAGGCTCTTGCAGAAGCTCAGGGTGAAGTGCTAAGTAGTCCATTCATTAGAAGAGTTGATAGCAAAAGAAAGTTTGCTAGCCGATGAATGTCATCATGCTCAAGATTGCAAATGAAATGTTGTGTAAATACAAGGCGCATGTGCAATGGGTGAAAAAGGGGACTTAAACACTTTTTCTTTCAAAGTCAGGTCAAGATTCAAACATAGAAGCAATAGATTACTAGACTTATTAATTCTTAGGGTAGCATGGCAATTGGGATAGAGGAAATGAGAAGGGTGGCAATGAACTTTTACAATAAGCTGATTGGTACTGTCAATATAGAAACGTGAACACGCAGTCTCTAGATTTCTTTCAAAACTTGTTGCAACTTAAGCTTGATTCCAATTATTATAAATTGGAGATTAGAAGTTGGTAAGAAAGTGGAGGATGTGGTTCTACACTTTTTCTATTTTATCCACATGGCAAAAAGAGGTAAACTCGACATTATATAAATCAAAATGTTGTGAATACGAAAGAGTTTAGGCCAATTGTTGCTGGAGCACAATAAAAGGGGATTTTGCAAAATTTTGGCTAATAAAGCTGTTGTTGTCCTTCCTAACTAAAATAATTCCATCACTTTCGAATTTCATTAATGGAAAACTTATTAGCGGCAATATCCTATTAGCTTATGAAATAGTGAAGGATTATCGTAAAATTGCTATCACCCAAAAATGTACCATCAAAATTGACCTCATGAAGACATTCTGACTAAGTTGATTGGTCTTATTTGTTTCAAGTTTTGAGTGCAAATGGGGTTCCCTTCTCGGTTTGTAGCTTTAGCTAAAGCTTGTGTGACAACTCTTATGGCTAGACTGGCTCTAAATGACTAAATTACATGTAATCTTAGTCAAATTAAGAAAATAGTTCAAAAATACTAATGGTGATAGACAAATGACTAATATTTTGATGTGTTGCAAAAATAGTTCAAAAATACTAATGGTGATAGACAAATGACTAATATTATTATTAGACTAATCATATTTTGTAATTCAAAAAATTTGTCTAATAAATAATAATTTAATTTTTTTGGATAATATATTATATTTAGCCATGCAAAGGTCAGCTATTAAATATGTGATCAACAAGTTTTCTCACAAATCCATATCAAATTGGTCCAAACCGGTTAGATTCCAAGCCGATAATTCACTCTTTAACCATTTATTTGACCAATTCAATGGGTTCAACCGGTTTCACAACCGTGCTCCCGTTTACCAGCCAGTCTTATCATAAAATTCTAATCCAAAAACTTCACACCAGTCCGTAATTGGGTCTCTGGACCATACGGCCTCCTGGCTCTCTAGAATGGCTACCGCTGCGATTTTCCTTAACCAGCATCATTTCCTCTGCTCAAGCTCCACCGTAGCAAGATCGACCAGCGGAGCCTTGTCATGGCACCTCCGAAGAACGAGTGTGATCACTCCACCGAAGAAGCGTGTAGTCTCTTTAGCTGCTGCTTGTTCAGCTTCTCAGTCGCCTGAAGCGGACACCCAAACTGCGGAGTCGTGCGTTAATTTGGGCCTCTCCTTCTTCTCAAATGGACGGGTATTTGGAAACCCTTTTTCCTTTATTTTAGTGGGTTCTCTGTGATGCGAAGTTGAATTTTATCTTCTTACTGGATTGATGGAGTTTAATTCGTGTTACTGCATTTGTTCTTCTATTTCTTTTTCAGGTTAAGGATGCTCTCGTCCAGTTTGAAACAGCACTTAGCTTGGATCCCAATCCCATTGAGGCCCAAGCTGCGCTATATAACAAGGCTTGCTGCCATGCTTACAGGTTGATGTTTCATCCCTGCTCTTTAACTTCTTATGGATATAGTAATCATCTTGTCTGCTCAAAACAGTGAGCAATGCGCTTGTCGTTCCTGCTGCTTTAACTTTCAAAAATGTCATTTCAGGGGGGTTTGGTTAAGAAATCATACAGATACATTGCCTGTACCTTGGTAATATAAGCAGCTTTCGAGAATGAAATCATTTAGGTGGTTGATATGATGTGGCAATATTTGTTTCTTTTGTTTCTTAAGGTGTGGAAACATCTCCTATATTCACGTTCCAATAACCACTGACAGGGTTCGGTACTTAAACTGTTGGATTATGCACATTGTTTTCATTGATCCGCCCCTGAATTTTATCGATGTTGCTTTTCAAATGATTGCTTTTAACTGTGAACTCGTCACTGAGAATTGGTGTATCTATCTGATCATACCCGTTTCTCTTCTGGGCTAATGTAGAGGAGAAGGAAAATTGACTGCCGATTGCTTACGTACAGCTTTAAGGGACTATAACCTCAAGTTCTCCACCATTCTGAATGACCCCGACTTGGCATCCTTCCGAGCTTTGCCCGAGTTCAAGGAACTGCAAGAAGAGGTTAATTCGCTTCGACTAAGCTAGTTGAATGTGTCTTTCTTCCCCTCTGCTTAGTTTTAAATGCTGTCTATCTATCCCTGGCGATTTGGTCTGTATGCCTTTCAGCATACCAATGTAGGAATACTCTCTAGTGTACCCTGTTCAATTTGATTGAAATCCATACCATCTGGCTTAAATAGGGATTCAGGAAAATGCAGTGTGATTTTGGATTTTTGTATCTTGAAGCCTGGGACTTGTGTTGGAATCTTTCAGCATACCAATGTAGGAATACCCTCTAGTGTATTTCACCTGTTCAATTTAAATGAAACCCATACCATCTGGCTTAAATAGGGATTCGGGAAAATGCAGTCTGATTAGGGATTTTTGTAGTTTGAAGCCTGGGACTTGTGTTGAAATATACATCCCCCCCGCTCATAGACATTGGCGGAAATTACAGGCCAGACTGGGTGGTGAAGACGTAGGCGAAAGCTTCCGTAGGGATCTCAAACTAATCAGTGAAGTCCAAGCACCGTTTCGTGGAATAAGGAGATTCTTTTATGTTGCATTCACAGCAGCTGCAGGCATATCAATGTTCTTAACAATTCCTAGGCTGGTTCGTGCACTCCAAGGTGGAGATGGCGCTCCTGATCTATTGGGAACTGCTGGAAATGCTGCAGTTAATGTAGGAGGTCTGTGTTTTACTTAGTCTTTTGTAGAGAAATGAGTAATGGATGATATATCTTATTGCTAACTTTTCGCTTCAGTTTGTTACTCCAGGGTTCTTTTGTAGAAGCATAATGTACTGCATACATATTTTACACTTTGACTCCTTAAAATGATTAGTTTTTTCATATTTCTTTGATTGTTATAAAGTGACATGTTTTGAATTGGCAATCTGCAGGTATTATAGTTTTCGTTGCATTGTTTATATGGGATAATAAGAAAGAGGAACAGCAACTAGCACAGATAACCAGGGATGAAACTCTATCAAGGTTGCCTTTGCGTCTTTCGACAAATCGTGTGGTTGAGCTCGTTCAACTTCGAGAAACTGTCAGGCCAGTTAGTATCAACAATTCATCCACCCCCCATTCCATCTTTCCTCCTTCTCCTTCTCTTTCCTCCTCAAAACTTACTTGAATGTCATAAAATCTCTTGCAGCGTAATTATAGCTGTGTTATTATCTATGCATAATTATTGGAACATTCTAGCAAGCTTTAGTCGTGGGTGATTATGAATAAACTTTGTTACAGTATATCTTTTTGGTGAATTAACTATCTTCTATTTTGTAATTGAAACGCCATCTAGTAATGAAACTTCAGAAATTGTCAGATGTTGAAGCAGGTAAATGTTGAATTTCCAAGTCCAGTTTTCTGATTATGAGTGGGATACAGGTAATTCTAGCTGGGAAGAAAGACACTGTTTCATTGGCCATACAGAAGGCAGAGAGATTCCGTACTGAACTTGTAAGGCGTGGTGTTCTTTTGGTTCCCGTTATATGGGGTGAGGGTAGAGAACCAGCAGTTGAGAAGAAAGGTTTTGGTGCTACCCGGAATTCAGCTGCCGCTCTTCCATCTATTGGGGTAAGCTACCAAGTTTCCATCTAAGTGCATTTCTTTCTTTCACTCTAAAAGGATGCAGAGGAAGTAAGATTTTGATGTTGAATTATTATTTTGGAGAAATGACCTTTATATACCAACATTTTAATCAAGGAATAGCTTCTCTTCTCTGAGATTGTTAAGGATAACACATAGTTGATCTTCGGTTATGCTCCATTCTTGACATTAGATTTGATGGCACCATGGTAGGAAGATTTCGAGAAACGAACTCAGTCGGTGGTAACAAAGTCAAAGTTGAAAGCTGAAATCAGATTCAAGGCAGAGGTTGTGTCCCCTTCAGAATGGGAGAGGTTAGGCTCTCCTTGCTTTGTCAACTAACATTTTCTTGGTGACTAGGTAGTATCTTTCACTAAAACACAACATTATTTTGAAGTCCTGTCTTCCTCCTGATTGATTAATTCTTAAGAAGCTGTAATCCACATTCATTCAGGTGGATAAGGGATCAGCAAATATCCGAAGGTGTTACTCCTGGCGAGGATGTCTACATAATATTGCGACTGGATGGTCGAGTTCGAAGATCTGGTAAAGTAAGTATCCTACCTTCAGATTTCGGCTTTCCACTTTAAATGAAGTGTCAGAAGTTTAAGGCCCAAAAATGTGGGAAATGATGTTATACTCTGAGCTCTACTTTGAATAAGCTAATAGGACTATTAAAAAAAGGAGTGAACAGCATCGTCGAATATACATTTATGGATTTTCTCACTTTTGCTACTACCACCTCAATGGCCCAGTTTGGATTCTGGGATTTGTCACATACCAGAAAGGCTTTACTTCCATAGTCTTCCATCCTGCCTCATGTAGCCTTCGCAGATCTGTCTGCCTGAATTGCGACCTTGATGATGGAATGCTAGTGTACCAGTAGCATATGGCCCAAGGCCGAATAACCAAATCAGTCAACACTATTCTCTCATTTAGATGTGTTGCCTCCGAGCTTAGGTTATGGAGGAAAAATAGTGGCCGAGAAGAAACAGCTAGGCGTTAATCATGAAAGGAGAACATTTGTGCTAGTTGTTATTGTGGGTCAAAAGCAAGTTAGTCTTCTTTTTTTTCCCTTGAGTTTCCATGATGGATTTTTGACTTTACTTATGGTGGAATATTTGTTGTGACGTGATGCAGGGGATGCCCGACTGGCAGCAGATGGTGAAGGAGCTACCGCCGATGGAAGCATTGTTCAGTAAACTAGAAAGATAAAAGGGTCGTTTCTCGATTTTGGGAATCACTGTAAATGGCAGTTGTTCTTGTGGGCTCTTTTGGATAATACTAAGGTGAAGATGATGAAGATGGCGGGTGCAATTTTCCTTTCCCATAATTTCTGTAGATAACATTACTTTCGTTTTAACTCGAATTCTATTTTTTTTTTATGCAAAGAATGAACGGATTGATTGTGATCTGTCCAATTATTATTATATTTATTTTATATATATATAAAGCAGAATCCGTTTTTGGTTGGGGATTGGAAGTTCATGGTGTTGCAGAAAGGGAAGGATAAGGATTGGGGTGAGTGGCGGAGAATTTAGATTTTAGGGTTTTTATTTATTTTAATATTACCTGCGTGGCTAATGGCCGGAGGAAGGTGAGGTATGAAATTTGATAATATAATGAGGTGTATAGCTTATTGTTGTATAGTTTTTTTTTGGAAACACGTGATAAAAATAGTGAATTTTGTTAGAAAGAGACATGAATGATGCAACGAATCAAAAATCAACCTTATGAACCAAAATCAAGTACCCGTTACCTTGTGAAACAATATTGTTTCTGGTAATTTGATGAGGTGGAGTAAGTTTTATAGAAACCGAATTTCAGAAAATTGAATAAAAAATCCCCTATCCCGCCAGTTTTCGGGAAATGAGCATCTCACAATCGTTGCTAGCTTTTACTCGGCCCGTTGGCCGATTAATTTGCTTATAAAATTTTCATCTTGTCATCATTGTGCTTTCTGGTTTTTTGCCAAGCCATGATAAAATCTAAAGAAATCAAGAATGAACAACACGATTTGGGATAAGAACCACCGTTCCTGTATCCCTAGAAAATGGTGGTAAACATGGACTTACCTGCCAAACTGGTTTGGATTGATATTTTTATCGGGTATCAGGGAACCATGTGGTTATAAATTAGACTTGATCAAAACGGGCCAAAACTTGAAATTCAGCCTGTTTGACCGACCCATGCCAAACTCTAATTATTCTTTACTTTTAAACTTCTATTTGAAAATAAAAAATAATGAAAGAAAAGAGATGACTGCAATTCGCCATTTGTACCTCACTGATTCAGGAATAAAACTATAGAATTTCGAAAGGAAAATGAAAATGTTTAGGATCGTTTGAATGTTAAAAATAACCAAATAAATCTTTCTGTTTAGTTTTTTTACTAACAAATACCAAACGATTCCCTATAATATACACTATAATTTAATCATTATGATTTCAATAATTACACAATATATATTTGAAATGATAAAAATTGGACTAATTGGGTTGGTCGAGGTTGAACCATTGAATAACTTTAAATACATTATATTTTAGCCACTAAGATATAAAATAATTGCATAATATATATTATGCTAGAGAAAATAGTTTGTTTTAGAATGGCAAACCCATGATGTTCATTTGTTTTACTTGATGGGCAAATCCCGTGTAGGTCAGGCCCATTCAACTCTTTTATTTTATGATTAGCGGTTAGCCCATTAGAATCCATGCATTAGTTTATTGTTATTTTTTTTTCTTTTTAGCAATAAAAAGGAGTATCATTTTTGCCTTTTTATATATATTTTACCACCACGGAGAAATAAAAGGACTTAAAAAAAACAATTGACACTCCTGGACCCGTTTAAATCCGCATGTGTATGGTAAGTTGGCCCGTTCCACAGAGGAAAAAGAAAAAAATTGACACTCCCTATTCTACCCTTCCTACAAACGCTCCTGGAGAAGGGAATTTGTAATGGGGGAAGGATTTTTTCGTCTCTGCGATTATATGTTTTTAATTTTAAAAGATACAACAAATGTACTTAGTGTGATTGGTTATGATCTTTGCTTTTCTTTAAAGTGGTCATGGTTCGAATCCTAGTAAATGTCTTTTTAATGAATATAAAAAAAGTAATTGTGAAGACCAAAATGTCCTTCCTACTTTCACTCTGGATGAAGGAAATTTGAAATGGGGCTTCAAGTTTTCTCATTTGGCTTTTATTCATTGTGTAGATGCATTGTCAAAATATCATATGTACACCAAATAATTACCACTTAGTAATTAAAATTTTCAACCATCATAAAAAATACTTATTTTTTTGGGTAGAAAATACCTATTTTTAGAATGTGTTTAGCCAAAAGATTGTAAAATCTACACAATCTCATATGGAATAAGTATGATATTTACCGGAGTAATATCGGAATAATACTACATCTATAAAGGATAATAGTAATACATACTAAATATTAATAAATAGAGATACCAATTAACAAAAGATGACATTACAAAATACAATTAAGCACAATTTTAAACAGCGATTTAGATTTACAATAAAATATAATAAATAGAAACCAAGTTTTGAGAGGAAATGAAATGTAAATAGTATAAGACAATGGAAAACCGAATAAAAAAGTAAGGAAATCGAAGCAACAATGGTAAAATGGGAAGCTACCGACTACCGAGTACCGACGGAAAATAATATATAGAAAAATAGAATTATTTACTAGTTTTTTTTGGAACTGTTGCATATTGTTTTAATGAATCTATTAATTTTTTTGTTTAGACATTTATTATCTATTTCAAAACGATTTCCATAACACTCTAGGCAAATCTCATATCGACAAAGCAAAAGAGAGATTCATAAGTAATAAATTTTGTTACTGTGGAACACTTCAATGATGGGTGACTTATTAGAAAGTCACCTTGATATGCACTTCAAGGACAAAACCGTATGAATCTACACTCAAAACAGATAATATCTTGATCGAAAAAAATTCAGGATATTACAACTTACAAGTCGTATCAGATTATCTATATGTCTTGTTTAGACAATATTAAGGAAAACCTCAACAAAAAACGTTGAGTCCCTAAGAGATGATCTATGTAATCCCTTAAGAATATCCTCATCGAAAAAAAAAAAAAAATTTGAGCATGTTACCATTCTTATTAACGGATAATAGACCTAAATTACAACTGCTTTTTCTACGAGGCCGGCATTCCGCAGCAATGTGCGGCTGTTCTCTAGTTATTTTAATATATTGAAACTAAAACTTCTCATTTCACGCATGTCACCAATGCAAAGAAAAATCACCGTCGAAGATGCTAACACAAGTAACAAAGGATGCAGCGAAGAAGACCTGATTATAAAGAAAATGCATCTTCGATCGTCACTGAGATGCCCGATTGCTTCTTTGGGTTGAAGAATCCCAACGAGTATCAGCCAAATGTTCAAACGACCAACCCATCGTTGATTCGGTCCTCCCAAACAACCATCGTTGGCTCATGATTCATCTGCTTTTAACGACGCACATTTCTCCTGCTCACCACCATCACGAGCTTGGTCCACTCTCGGGAAATGAATTTGTGTCGTCGCCGCTGCGAAGTTCCGAGGAAGCTAAGATGAAGAAGAGGGACATGAATAAGGTAAACCAACCGTGGCCTTTGCAATTTCTTCCTCCCGCTGATAATTAATTTTTGAATTTATTTATTTTTAATTAAATAATTAATATGATAAATCATATACACAAAGTAAGTAGAATGATGAGGTGGAAAAATCCATTTATTTTTATTTTATTTTCCATATCATCTAGTTAACGGTCAAACGTTATAGTTGGCTGCCACGAAGGACAAATTAAATTTAACGAAATGTAACAGTCGGTGACTAACAGTGAAAAGATTCGTAAAGTTAGTGACTAATGAATAAGAAAAAAAAAATTTGGTTGACAAACATGAAAGATATGTATAATTTAAGTTACCAAACGTGTAATTTAACCTATATGCTTCTATCAATTGTGATTGCAAATGTAGAAAGAGTATCTAATGCAATGAATAAAGTGAAGAAATACTTTAGGGGTCATTTGGATGAGGAATTCTAATGGATCAATCTGACACAATTGTCTCGTTTTGAGTCAATTGTGCTAGATTGATCCGTTTGGCAGCAGAAAATTTGGATGAAGCAATTTGGGCTGGGGAATTCTGAATTGACTCATTTTGAGCCAATTACAATTGTCTGGGGTGGGGGCAGGTAATCTGAATTGACTCGTTTTGTAAAATGAAACTACTTTAAATTGTGAATACTTTTTCGATGAGGTATTTTAATATCTCTTACAATTTACGCAGGTGAATGTATTACGATTGAAGATTGAAGCTACTTTAGATAAATTTATGGCTAGCCCACTAATACTAATCAAATCATAATCCTCCGGAGAAGCTCCTATCTAAGATACAGAGATGAATGGTGACTGTTGGTTAGTTTTCTATCTCTAGAATTCCAAGAAGAAGTCGATGAAGGCAATTAAAGAACAACCACGACATATTACAGATAGCACTGTTGTGCATTTTAAATTGACTAGTATAATCCTGTTCGCTATCGCTTCGTGTTGAGCGAGAACATTATATTTTTAAGATTGATAGTTTGAATTTTCAATTTTGACCCAAATATAAAGAGTTTGTCATCTACAACACCATACAGTCGACACAACGATGACCTTTAATAAGGTTGAATTAGGTTTAATACTCATGGTTTGGATTCAATTTCATTCTCAACAAAAAAAGGAGAAATTAACACATACTTAAGCGGATAAAACTTGATCACGACCTAAAATTCGGCAACATCATGTTCAACTCTCTTTCATCAGCTTGAATCGAGTTTGTAGCAAGTTCACAACCGACCCGACCCGCTAGTTACAAAAGAAAATAAAACTCACTCCCGACCGAAAACTTGTAAATACCGGGTTCAATTCATTTTGATCAGGTTGAAATAGCTAGGTTGGATACACATAGGGTTGGGATATCAACTAAAAGGAAAGGATATATAAAAAGAACTAAAATCAAGTATCATTCTCAACCAAAAGGAAATGAGAAATAAAAAATATTAAGCAGATAAACTCGCTCTCGATAAAAAAACTCGTCAACACTGTGTTCATCTCGCTTTGACAGGGTCGAATCTTGTTTTTAAAAAAATTCACACTCGACATAAACTACCAACTACAAAAGCATATAAAACTCGCTCTCGATACAAAACTCGTCAATACCATGGATTTGGGCTCAATTATCATTCTCAAGGAAAGGAATAAAAATACTAAAATAGGGTTCAAAGTCTCTTTGACCTGGATGAATTAGGTTGGATACCCATGAGTTTGAGTTCAATTGTCATGCTTATTCAAAAGGAAAAAGAGAGATAATAAAATACTAAATAATATGAAACTAAGTCTCGATACAAAATTCGGCAACACAAAGCAGATTTGGTATGGATTTTCGATAGCGATCTTGGTACGGTGGATGGGTACAACTTAGTATTCCACCGAAAGTGCTTGGAGAAGAGTTGTGCACTATTGGGTGAACGCGAGGATTGTGTATAATAAATAAGGTATGAATCTTCGGTTGCAGTCATGGCAAACGGTGGAAGAGGACAACTTAATTATGATTTCGTCGATAGTGTTTCGAGATGGGTGATTGTTGGCAGTGGGAAAGCAATGAAAAATAGATGAAAACTTAGTAGACAATTAATAATTATTATGGGAAACCTAATGGACAATAGATGTATACCCAATGGATAATAGATGAACACATATGTTATAGAATAAGAGAATGGGGTAAAAGAAAGACTTGAAACTTCCCCACTTGCACTTAGAGGAGTGTGTGAGCCAATAATGAATAGTAACCTACATTTTGGCTTTTATATATTTTTTTGGATGAATTAGATTCTTTCCATTTCATCAAAGAAAAGGGATGCTGGAAACAACCTTCCCAACTAGGTATCCCTATAGAATAGGACAAAAGAACAAATAAACCGCAAACAAAATCAACTATAGCTAAACTATAACACCTCGGGTAAGACTATCCAATCACAAAGAAGTAGTATTGCCAAAGTTCCAGAATTTGGACACTTCCTCCTCCTGCAACATCACCAGAATTTCATTCCTAATTACCTTCTTCAAACCTTCCACACTTCTGTTTGTCCCTTCAAAGACTCTATTGTATCGTTCTCTCCATACATGACTGATCATTGACTGCCACACAATTCTCCCATGTCTTGCATCCGTCCCTTTCTTCCCAAACTTTCGAGTTGCCCACTGTAACCCATCCTCCCAGTCCCTTGGTAAGAATTCAGAAAACCCCCCAACACTTCATGAAAGAGTTTCCTAAAAAACTCACATTGCGCAAATAAGTGGTGAGGCTTTCTGGTTGCCGATTACAAAGACTGCATAAGTCTGGACCTGCAAATCCCCATATCTTCATTTTATCCTTAGTATGAATCCTATCCTTAATGATAAGCCATACCAGGAATCTATTTCTGGGAACAGAAGGAGCCAACCAGACCAAACCAGCCCATGAAACATAACTTAGTTTAGGTCTTAGTGACTCCCAAACCATTTTCACAGAGTACCTTGGCATCACAGAGTTATTCCAGTAAACTTTGCCATCAATCAAACTAAAAAGGTGAGGAAGTTTACCTCGCAGCTTTAGCAGCCTCTTCCAGTTCCAAGAACCATCTATGCTTGTCTCCCAAATACTCCTCCCTTATAGTTTGTATGTCAGAATCCATGCCACCCAAAGCCATCCTTGCTGTAACATGATGGGCCATATTTGGCGGCAGATACAAGCATTGTTCCACGCAAACATATATCTCAATCCTAATCCACCCTCTTTCTTGGGGTAAGTTAAGTACTTCCAGGCTAATTTTGCTTTAAGCCTCGGTCCTTCTCCCACAGCCCACAAGAAATTACTACAAATTTTTTCTATCTCCCTTAGGACCTGCTGAGGAAGAGAGAAAACACTCATCCAGTATTGAGTAATGCTATACAACACAGAACTCACCAATTCCACCTTCCCTGCATACGAGAGAGATTTAGCCTTCCAGCCTTTAATCGTGCCAATAAGCCTGTCAATCAGTGGCCTACAAGCAGCAGCTGATAACTTTCCTGCAATCAATGGCACACCTAGATAGCGACCACGGAAATTTCGCAACTGATACCCAAATCGAGCAGCCCTAAAAACCATCTCATCCTTTTCCATTCCTCCAAAATAAACCTCACATTTACTTGGATTGGACTTCAAGCCAGATAAGTGATAAAACTCATTCAACACATTCTGCACACTCTGCAAATCACGATTAGAACCGTCCGAGAACACCAAGAGATCGTCCGCAAAACATAAATGAGTCAATCTGACCTTTTTGCACATTGGATGATAAGGGAAATAATCCCTCTTTGTTTCTCTATCCAAAAGACAGGTGAAGACCTCCATAGCAACCACAAACAGATATGGAGACATAAGGTCTCCCTGTCTTAACCCTTGCCTAGAAGGGAAATAACCTGTCAACCCTCCATTAAATGATATGCTTAACATAGGCTCAGTAACACACATTATGATCCAATCAATAAACTCAACTGGGATCCCATAGCTTCAAGCACATTGAACAGAAATTGCCAGTTAACAGAATTAAACGTTTTCATTAGATCAATTTTAAGAGCTGATCTATATGAAACATTCTTTCTAGCATATTTTGAAACCAGTTCATGAACTAACAAGACATTTTCACCAATCAGCCTCCCTTTAACAAATGCAGGTTGATTCTTACTAATCACTAAGGGTAGTAGAGCACTACTCTTAGCAATAATTTTAGACAAGCATTTATAAATTGTATTGCAGCATGAAATAGGCCTAAAGTTTTTCATTTTCTCAGGGTTAGGAACCTTTGGTACCAGAGCAAGTATTGTTGAGTTTACCTCCTTGGGTATCTACTTTGTAGCAAAGCAATATTGCACTGCCATAACAATATCAGCACCAACAGTCTCCCAAGCGTATTGAAAGAACCGAGCATTATAACCATTTGGCCCTGAACTTTTGTCTCCCTTCATACCAAACATTGCTTCTTTAACCTCCAACTCAGTTACATGATCACATAATGAAGCAGTCTGCAAGTGATTAACTGTCTGCTTGAGAATAGACTGAAAAAATTCCACAATGCCCCCATTAAGACCAACTTTAGTGGAGGGTCAAAAGTCCAAATATTTGAAACTAATGCACTTTAGTGGAATTCTAATAGTCCAAATATGGACCACAAGAAGACAAAGAATTCTAAAATTGTGGGACCCAAAATGCAAGGGAGATGAGCGCCAACAAGGGAGATGAGATGCACGCATAGTCGGTGTAGGTTTCTTCTTGTGCGTGGCTGCCACTGCCGCCCATGCATGGGTTTAATTGGTAGCTCTCTTAATTTGTAAATTTTTTAATTGCCTCTTCGTTCTCACTTCACCATATAAAAACAAAAACCTCAAACCTATTTAATTTGTTTATGTTAATTGAACAAGAATGATTGTATTTTAGTTAATTAGGGGTATGCAAAAATTAACAAAAGTCGTGCTAATTAAGATGGGTAGGAATTTAATGATGAAATTTATGTGTTCGAATTAAAAAAAATACCAAAATGTTCATCTTAATAAATTATTAGTACCTATCTAAAAATAATAAACAAATTTTGTAATTAGAATGATAAAATCTACATTAAACCGAAATATGAGTTAATGCCAAATTCTGAAATTTTGAACTTTTGGAACTCTGCACTAATGCAAAAACCACTTTTGGAGGGGCTAGAATTAGAATTATAGCCCCAAATTTTGGAACTTTAGGACCATGCACTAAAGATGGTCTAACATCTGCATTTACCTGGCCCAGCAGCTTCTAAAAACTCACTGCCACCTCACACATATCCTCTAATACGTATACTTATCCGATCGATTGATAATCCGATTTTCGCCGAAATACTATCAAAACGCTCGATTTTAAATCACAAACTTTCTAGCGATCGAAATATGGGTTTTTCCGGAACGGGATGTTACAATTCTCCCCTCCTTAAAAGATTTCGTCCCCGAAATCTAACCTTGAGTTGTACTCTAAGTCTGCTTACTTACTCTTGACATGGTCTATCGTAGATAAACCATTACCTAACTCTTCGGTTAGGTGATTTCATAGCATAGAAGGTAACACATAACACCTCAAGTTCCCATGTTTAGGTTTCAAAACCTATACTGGGCTATCACAACAAGAGCACATCAACAAGTTCAAAACATAACTTATTAGGCAAGATTGTTAACCTGCAAGGTAGGTTGCTACTAACTCAGGGTACTTCTCTCTCGCATACTTGCTTCAGTCTCCCATGTAGCACTCTCACTTTCTTGATTCCTCCACACAACCTTTTACATTGGAATTTCCTTCCTACGAAGAGTCTTAATCTGAAAATCAACAATCTCAACTGGAACCTCCTCAAAAGTCAAATCTGGACCCAACTCGATCTCCTTTGGTTGTATAACATGGGAAGGATCCACTTTGTACCTCTTCAGCATACTAACATGAAATACATTGTGGATTTGGGATAGCTATGGAGGCAATGCTAGTTTATATGCCACTGGTCCAATCTTCTCTGTGATTTCATATGGCCCAATATATCGAGGTGCAAGCTTTCCTTTCTTACCAAATCTCATCACCCCTTTCCATGGTGACACTTTGAGAAATACTTTCTCACCCACTTCGAAAATAACTCCACGCCTATTTGTGTCAACATAAACTTTCTGTCGATCTTGAGCCACCCTCATACGCTCCTTGATTTCTTTGACCTTATCAACTGTGATCTGAACTATGTCTGGCCCTGAGATTTGCCTTGCTCCTTCTACATCCCAACATAATGGTGTTCTACACTTCCTCCCAACTATGCTCCGATAGAACGTTTGATCCTCCAACACTTGACCACTCTCTCTGCTAAGTTTCAAATTATTTTCCATAGGAGTCGAACAAGGTTTGCAGTCCTGATATCCGGATGCCTTTAGCAAGTCGAATATGTATTTCTTTTGAGGTAAGAAATAACCATTACCCGAGCGCACCACTTCGAGACCCAGGAAGTACGAGACAGGACCTAACTCCTTTAGATTGAATACATCTCGTAACACTTCAGTTAGATCTTTGATTCCTCCTTGATCACGAGACCCCAACGAGTAATACATAACCTTCTCAAGAAAAATAACATGGCAAGAAACTCGAATAGACGTTCAACTGGATCATAACACAGATATCCCTTCTGCCGACTACTTTAACCAATGAAAACACAACGAACAGTCTTCACATCAAACTTATGTCTCTCTTACTTCGATTTAAGAACGAAGCATACGCAGCCAAAGACACGCAAAAAAGAGTAGTCAGGGAGTCGTCCATATAACCGTTGATATGGAGAGTTGCCATCAAAAACTGTAGTCGTATGTTGGTTGATCAAGTAGACAACCGTACTTACCGCCTCCACCCTGAATCCCTTTGGAACCATCAAATGACGTAAAAGAGCTCGAGTTAGCTCGATCATGTGTCTGTGTTTATGTTCCACCAACCCGTTCTGTTGTGACACACCCGGACACGACAGCTGAGATAAAATGCCGTGTTGAGCATAAAACTCTTGTAATGGGTTGGAAGTAAATTCACCGCCAGGATCAGAACGGATGATCTTCACAGTTTTACCAAACTGCGTCTGAACCATGCGGACAAAATCTTGTGCATACGTAATCAACTCAGATTTAGCGTGCAAGAAATAAATCCAGGCAAAACGTGTCACACGATCAAGTGAACAAATCTCATATTTCTTTTAGCCTTTTACATTTTAGACTTTTAGACTTTTAGGTTTCATTGTTTTTTTCTTTAGACGAGACACATTTGAGCTAGAATTTCTAGATTAAATTTGGAGTTATGATTTGAATATGTTCATCTTACTCATTTTCCTAATTACACACAATTTTATTATAAAATAACACTAGATCGAATGGCTAAAATCGATAAACGCATAAAGATTATACTAGTTCCGGATCCAGAGGAAGCTGGGCCGTGGTCCGGGGTGACCAGCCCTGGATCCGCCACTGAGTGTGAGAGCAACTAATTAATAGTAATCTACAACCATGACTTTTATATATTAATTAATATATTGTCGATAACTGTTGGAAGGACAAGAATGGCAACAAGGCTGTACGTTTTTTTATGGACACAAAGGGGAAAACACTGAATTCAGTCCGTCTACGTACCTTCTACGACTAGCAAAAGACAAAGATTAACAATAACACATGCATATTTTCGTTATTGTCTGAACAATTAATTAATTAATTAATTAATTGCGAACGAATTAGTTTAGGGTTTAAGTCTAATTGAACCACTTCCTACGTACGTAGCATGCGGTAGTAGAAGCTTAGTCGCCAAGCCTTTGCCTCTTTGGCGAACTTCCATCGCCGCCGTTATACGCGTCTTCGGAGCAGTGCTTTCGCAGGTAACGATTAGCCATCTCCACGAGTCTTCTTCTCCTGTCGTCCATTACAAAATCGCTCCTGCTTTCTTCCCAAGGCAGCAACGGGCTGCCACCCTTGATTTTCTCCTCCGAAGATTCAGGCAGCAGGTTGCTTTCTTTCCCCTTCTTCCTCTTCTTCAGCTGATGAGGAGCAGAGTACTCCTTCTCCTTCTTTCCCGTTCTTGTTTTTCGGCCTTGACATTCATCCGGCCACCCGTAAGCACCGACGACGGAGATGCTGGGGACGGCGGATTTGGTCTTGAAAACTCCCATCGCGGGGCAAAGTCAGAGATCTTTGGCAGAAGGGTTGAATCGTTTTCGGAAACCAGACACATGTATGTATTTATATTAGTTAGTTAATAGCAAGACCAATTAAGCCGTTTCCTAATCCTACAAGGATTGGTGTTCTATTCCTCCTTTCCGAATTTCGAAAGGATCATGTTATTGCGCTTGGAAAAAATAAAACTTTATCACGGAGGGAATTGAGACTATTTGACAACCCTTAATGATTTTGATCTATGGTTGAATACCCTTGATTACATTTCTGGGTCCGCCACTGGTTGTGACACACCTGGACACGACAGCTGAGATAAAATGCCGTGTTGAACATAAAACTCCTGTAATGGGTTGGAAGTAAATTCACCGCCAGATCAGAACGAATGATCTTCACAGTTTTACCAAACTGCGTCTGAACCATGCGGACAAAATCTTGTGCATACGTAATCAACTCAGATTTAGCGTGCAAGAAATAAATCCAGGCACTGGGCAGCGCCTCCTGGAGAGCCTCTGCCACTAGTGAAGCGCCGTAAGTTAAGGCCTCACCATATCAACAGAAGAGAGCAACCATGTGACAATTTGAGCATTTCCCGCTGCCCAATCGGCAATGTCCCGAGCAGCCGCAGTACAAGCAGGCCGTGGAGCATCCCCGTTCAAAATCAACAAAGTTCCTGAAGTGGAACTCCCAGAGAGGAAATTTTTTACCATCGAACTTGATGGGAACCGAACCCATCTTAGCTGAATCCATCGGAAGCCAACCAAAGAACAACAACCCTCACAAAATTAGAGGCAATCAAAGAGCAGATTTTAAATCTCCAACCAGAATCGAGGAAATAATAACTAGGACAGCCGCACAAGCCGAACAAGAACAACAGCCAATAAACCCCAAGCCGAGCAACCTGAAGAATATGAAACCCAGCCAGCCAAGACAAAATCGACACCAACAGCCAAGAAAATCCAAGCGATCTTCACGATCCAAAGTCTCAGATCGCAGGCTCTGATACCATGTCAAATAATCAAACTGAATGCTAGAACGAAAAGAACACTCTAGTTTTTTAACGTGATATCGCCAATAGGCACTAGTCCACGAAGAGGATCTCCCTCTCAGGTTTTATGCTTTTCTTATTCGTTAGTTCTTCTGTTATGTTTACTAGAATAAACACTAGATACAATTACATAAAGCTACCCATACTTTAAGAAATGGTCTAGTGAATTGGATTGTAAATTTGTCACCTTATCAATTATGGGTTCTTTTAAAAAGAAGGATCAAGTGTGGACTAATCATATGTTTTTTCATCGACTACTTGATCAGCGCGCCAGGAAAAAAAAAAAAAAACCATTGCAACAATGTTTGCTAATCAGAAGAAGTTATTGAAACATAAACTTTCACAAGCAAGCATTGATATGCTGCTTATAAGATATTTAAATAGTAACGATATGACTAAGTTATATGTGTTAAAGTAATATATGAAACATCAAATTTTAGGTACTAATACATAAAGTGTAAAGCTACCGGTACTTAATTGTATTTCTATAGAAATCCATTAGTCCAACATATATGAATGAGTTGAAATGAATTAGTGAAATGGATTGTAAATTTGCTACTTTATATATAAATTGTTATTTTTAGTGAAAAATTCAGCTTTCATGTATGTTCACAAACATTGAGAAGTGACCATCCCCATCACATGAAAACAGAAGAACAAAACTTAAATACATATATATGAATATAATCCAGAGAGTGTCTAAAGCTTAATTTTGCTATTCATACAAATGGAGTAAAAGTGCTTCGTATTAACTACAATTACAAGATTATAGTAACATTAAAGTGTTGCAGGAGACTGGCCAACTACACATAAAATTGTTCATTGAGATTCAATAACCCTAATTATGGTTTAGCTTCAACCATGCTAATAACAAATTTATAGCAAAATTTATCCATAGCATCACCTATGTGGCGCAACGGGGCCCACAGCAGGAGGACTAGAGCCAGTGCGAGAGCAGGGAGGAAAAGATGGGACAGTCGGCGCACCCCACCCTTTCTCCACCGCAAAGACAACAGCCTCCTCGTGACCCGGACAAGCATCGTGGCGCGTGATAGATTCTCACGCGTCGTAGAACTCGAGCTTTCTAACGAACGAACTAAGAATGCGATGAAGATAACTAAATTACTACTAAACTATTAGACTTTATTGATTTAATGAATAAAACAAAGAGCAAAGGTACATATTTATAGGACAAGTCCCACAAACCTCTTTCCCCTTATGACATGGAAACCCAATCCCAAACCGACTAGTAAACAATAACTTCCTAAGCAAGACATAATATAATAATCCAAATAACAACCGAAAGACAAATAATAATAATAATAATAATATCCTAGGTGGCTGCGGAAATTATAATGCACCAAAGCCCCCCCCCCCCCTCCTTTAAACAACCTCGTCCCCGAGGTTGCCTTCTTTCTCCTCTTCTCTGCCATCCTCGTCCTTGAAGTCGCCGATCATAACGAAGACGTTCGCATTTGCACAGCGATGCCCGTATGTGAACCTCTCGTCGCAATTGTAGCACAGCCCGTCGCGACGGCGTCTAGCAGCTTCCTCCGGTGACAGGTTGCGAATGATGCGCCGTGGCCGAGGTGCCGGAGCTCGCCCTGTTGTTGGCGCAGTTGGCGGAGCTGCTGGTGGTGCAACTGGAGCAGGTGGTGGTGGCGCCCAAGTCGTGTCGGCGGTGGCAGTCCTCGTTGATCCCTTCTCCAAGCGCAACTCCTCCTCACGTATCTTAGCCAATCGATACGCTTCGCCAGTGGTTTGCGGATTAAAAGCTCGAATATAGGCAGATATTTCCGGCTTTAATTCTCCCATGTAGGACCCCATGATCGCAACCTCGGTCCAACCGCGGCAACGATTCAGCAACTTCTCGAAGGTATGTTGATATTCGTCAACAGAACCAGTTTGACGAATCTTGGCCAACGCCTTATGTCCAGACGATTTCTCCGACAACCCATACCTTTTCCATAACTCGGCGCATAGGCTGCTCCAAGTCATCATCACCCCGTTCTTCGCGAATTCTTCCTCAAGCCACATGATCCACTGGTTCGCGTCACTATCCATGTGATAAGTAGTCAGCGCCACCTTCTGCTCTTCTGGAATGCACTGGTAACGGAAGTACTTCTCAACACGCGAGACCCACCCAGATGGATCTTCCTTGCCAGTGAACTTCGGAAATTCGAGCGGTGCGATCCTGGTTCGAAACATTGCTTGACCTTGCTCCTCGAATTGACCTATGGGTTGGGTCAACCCAGTTGGTCCATCCGAATACGGCCCGCCCGGCCCGTGGACTTGGGGTCGGCCCACAGCGGGTCCGCACCAACTCTGCTGACCCGGCCCGAGCGGTGGTCTGGGCTCGGTCCAGCTTGTCCCTGCAGCCCATGGCCCGCTTGGCCCAGCTGCCTGCGCTCCTGGCCCACTCGGCTGCCACGGATGGCGCGGCCCATTCCCCGAAAGACCTGGCCAAGCGCTCGACCCGGCCGGTCCATAGGGCACGTTTGCGTCCCCGGCCCACTGCTCCGCTCGCTCCGGCCCGCCCGCAATCACGCCTGGCCCAGACGGCCTGTCTCCAGCTCGGCCTCCCTCGGTTGCTCCTAGGCCAACCCCGTAGAGCAAGGCCCTAGTCAGGCCACCCATATTGGGCCCTGGCCCACGAAATACTCCTCTGCGGTTGGTGGGCTCTGGAGTCGGCCTCATCGGTGGCCTCCCCCCTTGGGTGACGACCTGCTCCTCCTCGCCATCGACGACGAGATTCCCCCAGCCAGCTCCGACGGGAATCCCGCGACCGATCCCTCCACTGCGCCCCACGCTCTCGACCGGTGCTCCGTTCATCACTTCCGGTTTCGTTCCCGGCGTCGGTGTCGAGCTCCCGCTAGTGGAAGAGTGAAACCCCTCGTCCACGGCGACTGCCTTCACCTTCTCTGCAGCCGTGATCTGGTCGATGGTGCGACCTTTTCCCCCAGCGACGGGGTCGAGCTCCTTTGACGGCTCAGCCTCCTTCTTCTCCCAAGGCGGGTTGCGGAGGATTGCGAGGATCGCGCTGACGTCGTTCGCCAACCGCCCTTGCTCAACGCGGACAACGTTGACCTCCTCCGACAACTGATCCTGTCCATCCTGAAGTTTCTCCTGACCACGCTGAAATTGCCCGACGTCGACGCGGAGATGCTCCAGGGCTGCTTCGTGATCGCGGTTGATAGCATCCTGAGCTTCCATCCTAGCCACGATCGCCTGTTGATGACCGGCGAGAACTTGAAATTGAAGCACTAGCTCCTCGTCGCCGGCGGCGGTTGGTGATGATGGTGCCGTTGGCTGCTTGCGCGGTGGCATGGTCTCCTGGCTTGGTTCACTCGGAACCAGGCTCTGATACCAATTGGCGCGTGATAGATTCTCACGCGTCGTAGAACTCGAGCTCTCTGACGAACGAACTAAGAATGCGATGAAGATAACTAAATTACTACTAAACTATTAGACTTTATTGATCGAATGAATAAAACAAAGAGCAAATGTACATATTTATAGGACAAGTCCCACAAACCCCTTTCCCCTTATGACATGGAAACCCAATCCCAACCCGACTAGTAAACAATAACTTCCTAAGCAAGACATAATATAATAATCCAAATAACAACCGAAAGACAAATAATAATAATAATAATAATATCCTAGGTGGCTGCGGAAATTATAATGCACCACATCGATAGAGGCTTGAGTCCGGAGCCTAGTCTCCTCTCTAATCAAGGCGCCAAGAACCTGCTCAATCTTCACGTCCCCTCTGTTCGGCAAGGTGGAGCGAACAAATTTAAAATCAGACCTCAGCCGAGCCATGAACTGCATGATACAGGTTTGATCACGCTCAGCCTGGACCTGCGTAGTAACCGTGCCCAGAAAGAGAGACGCGGTAAGTAAGTCATGTTCTGTCCAAAGATTGCAAGCAAGGTTGAAGTGCGAAGTAAAATCAAGTTATCCCTGATGGAGATTTTCAAGCTCGACCTCGAGC